AGTACTCACATTATCTGTAAATATAGTGGTAAGTACTCACATTATCTGTAGATATATTGGTAAGTACCCTCACATTATCTGTAGATATAGTGGTAAGTACTCACATTATCTGTAGATATAGTGGTAAGTACTCACATTATCTGTAGATATAGTGGTAAGTATCCTCACATTATCTGTGGCTATAGTGGTAAGTACTCACATTATCTGTAGATATAGTGGTAAGTATCCTCACATTATCTGTGGCTATAGTGGTAAGTACTCACATTATCTGTAGATATAGTGGTAAGTACTCACATTATCTGTAGATATAGTGGTAAGTACTCACATTATCTGTAGATATAGTGGTAAGTACCTATACATTATCTGTAGATATAGTGGTAAGTACCTACACATTATCTGTAGATATAGTGGTAAGTACTCACATCTGTAGCTATAGTGGTAAGTATCCTCACATTATCTGTAGATATAGTGGTAAGTACTCACATTATCTGTAGATATAGTGGTAAGTACTTACACATTATCTGTAGATATAGTGGTAAGTACTCACATTATCTGTAGCTATAGTGGTAAGTATCCTCACATTATCTGTAGATATAGTGGTAAGTACTCACATTATCTGTAGATATAGTGGTAAGTACTCACATTATCTGTAGATATAGTGGTAAGTACCCTCACATCTGTAGATATAGTGGTAAGTACCCTCACATTATCTGTAGCTATAGTGGTAAGTACCCTCTCACATTATCTGTAGATATAGTGGTAAGTACCCTCACATTATCTGTAGATAGTGGTAAGTACTCACATTATCTGTAGATAGTGGTAAGTATCCTCACATTATCTGTAGATATAGTGGTAAGTACTCACATTATCTGTAGATATAGTGGTAAGTATCCTTACATTATCTGTAGCTATAGTGGTAAGTACCCTCACATTATCTGTAGATATAGTGGCAAGTACTCACATTAACTGTAGATATAGTGGTAAGTACTCTCACACTTTTAATGTACATGGAATGAGATAATTGTCTGTGATTTGACTGGATGTACAGTAGTAAATTACATAATCATGCAATTCTATTTTTAGATTGACCCAACTAGGACCATCTCTGCTGGAAAGGTGAACTTAGGTGCATTCAGGACATACCCAAAGGTAGGAATGTTATAAGCATGTTGTAGAGAGGGTATTTCTCTCACAATGCATTGTGATGGTTCGTAATGCCAGCAATAAATCTTTCCCGCAGTCAGCTGGCAGTCAATTGATAAAAGGTGATACAGGGGAAGTTATCTAGAATCAAACTCAAAACTATAATAAGAAGACAAGTTGAGAAATGGGTTTTTCAGATTCTTACAAATCAGGGGATAAATGCTAAACTTTCACAGCTAATTTGTTGGGATAACATTCACTAACTGCTAATGAAATTTGACTGTATTCGTTGTTTTTGCATGGAAAACTTCTAATATGAGCACCTCAATGACCTTATAGGTGGATGACAATTTTGTCTGCCCTCGTGTAGTAAACTGATACATGTATGGGTAAATTAATCCCATTTATTTTATCACTTGTCTGCCAGTTAACTGTAATTTTATCATAGGTTTTTTTTATTTTAAATGACGACTCCATTGATTGTTAGACATTATTCACTGCAAATTTTGGCATTTCAAAAAAAATTGGAGTCGGCACTTATGTTCAGAAAAGCTGTTTGTGTACTGTTATGTACAAGTCCTCACGCTTGGCTACCGATACTTCGGGTACCGAGACGTCGAGTAGGAGGCCCAATGGAGGAGGTACTGATAATTTCTGATCGGAGGGCATCCTCACAGTCTGTGTTTTCAGGCGGTGGTTTACCCAATTTTACCGGCAACATCGAGGCTGTGGAGGTCTGTTTTTTAGATCAGACACAGTCGGAGTGGGCTTTCTCCACTGCGGCCCCTCGGTGGGCAAGCAGAAAGAAATACGAAAGCATCACTCGCATTCAAAACATCTCTTTCAGAGAAAACCCCCGTTCCCAGCCGCTACTCTCCTGCTGATTTGGATGTGGCCGAGGCTCAGACTAGTTGCACCAGGTCTCCTCTGGGGCCTCGAGCACTGAATGCCAACGGGGATGCTTGCAGCAAAGCCCCCGATTTTGGGGCAGGTCTTTCTGGTCAAGGCACATGTTGCACCTCCCCCCTACTTTCAGCCAACCAGGGTTTGTCGTGCAGTAATGGTACAAGGATTTTACTCATGAGTCCTGTCTCAGCTGTGGGTTTGGATTCCCTTCTTACCGACCTACGGCACCCCTAGGGGGAACTGACCCTGTCATGAGACACGCAGTCGAACACGCTCTCTCTCACATATTTAAGTTGAAAGGAGACAGTTCGTCGGATACAGCCGGTACCTCGGGCAGTCCCTCATAGTCTTCCATCCGTAATGACTCGGTGAGCCACGCCGTTGGGGTGATGCGGAGTATCATCGATCCTAGTGATACAATGTAAATACCCCCACCCTTGTATCCCGCACATACAAAAACTTTATTTGAGTGGGCTGCCAACGTGCTGGCCAAGGGCGAACAGGGATTCCACCATTCTCCGTCGCCGAGACTATGGGTCTTTTATCACTAAGCTGGGAACGTCCCACTAGTCTCTGCCACAAGCTAATTTAAATATTAATGACCGGACCTACTTTTTCCTTTGCCACTCACATTATCTGACGTGGTAGTAGATTTATTGGTCCGCTGCTATGCGAGCGAAACTCGTATAAAATGTATAAAATTTATTTTGAAATCACGCCCACTAGCATTTTATCTATCAATTTCGTAGTTCGCTATCTTTTTTCCAACATCGCCCAGTTGCATGTCACATAGCAGTCGAATGAAAAGTGGGCAGGCGCGAGACGCCCGCGTCCCCTCGAGGCAACGATGCGAATGCAACGATGATTTGAACTGACGATTCACAACTACGTCTCCTACCGCATGATCTACTTTTTCAGTATTTTGAAAAAATTTAAAAATATTTGATATATTTATTCAAAATAACACACATTTTTTTCAACAGAAGCTTAGGATATAAGAAACAAATGAATTTTAAAAAAACGTGGAATACCAACAATTTTGGTGTAATATGTCGCCTGTGGCAGAGTCTAGTTGCGGCTCTCTGTAGCTCCCTAGGTCAAGAATACTCTGCAAGGGAGAATGGGATTCCACCAACGCTTCGTGGTGTAGCGGAAGGGAGATTGATCCATACCATCCCTCTAGCCAGCCAGGTAGCAGACTCCTTCATCCAGCTGTTTAACGAAGTGGGTTTGTCCTACGCAGCGATCGTGGACTACGGGTCTGCCTTGTCCCCCACCATTGAAAACGCTTTGGGAACAAAACTAGCCGATTGTCCTATTATTAGGAGACTATTTACTGCTTTCCATATCAGAGGCCGAACCCTGTACAAGGGAACTGTTCATCTGGGTTTTGATTGTGTTGTCCGCTCTAAGCAGGACGCCCTTTGAACGATCAGCACCACTCAAAATTTTGACGTGGAAAATAGTCTTCCTACTGGCCCTCGCCTCAGGTAGGCGTCGACCAGAGCTGGGGGCATTGTCCTTCTCAGACAGTTGTGCTAAAGACACGAGTCGGGCTTCTCACCAAGGACCAAATCCCAGGACACGATCCTCACCCGATCGTCATCCCCCGGCTGTAAAATTTTGTCGGCCCTGAGGGTCATTAGGAATTGCTTCTCTCTTCTCTGCCCGGTTGAGTTGCTACCAAAACCGTACTAAGGATTCAGGACGAAGTGCCAAGCACAGGTCTTCATCACCAGTGGATTACTGTCCTATATTAGAGGTCTATAATACTTTAACTTCCTCGACACAGAGCTTGCAGAGACGCAAAGTATGAGCGCATGAGGTCTGTGCGATTGCTAACTATGGCTAGCCTCAGCCCCCCCCCCCCCCTCGAGCACATACTGGGGGCAGGCTTCTGGAAACGCAGAACGTCTTTATCAACTACTACCTGAAGAGACACCCGATCCATTGAGGAGGGTCTCTTGAAGTTGGGTCCAGTTGTAGCGGATCAGATTTGGATCGTTGACCCAGCCAGAGCGACCACAAGGGTCCCTGCGCATAGGCGATAAGTCAGTCTCAGCATTTCTGCTGACAGATTCTCTACCATCAGCACTCCCTGGAAGCTTTCCAGGTCCCGCTTTCTGACCTATGCCCTCATGCAGAACAGTTTTGGTCTTTACTTCAAAAGCATACTACCCCCTGAATTGGGTTTGGGTCTAGCTTTCTCAGGCACACTGAACCCTGTCACCAGTAGCAGCATTCTGGCTTCTTGCTTCGGGGACAGCACAGGCAAGGTAAGACACCAGCCTTTTGGGGTCTTAACTGAGGTGTTGAGTGATTGTTGTAAAGTGTATCATCTCGGACTGGGAAAAGACTTTCATCATTTTCTGTTTGCTCGGAAAACCCGCCACCTATCGTCATCTGACTCTGCCTACAACTCAAAATCATTTTGACTGACCAGAGTCTATGGTGGGTAATTAAACGTAGTGAATTCAGGCAGAGGGTTCATACCCACCATAGACTGTAGGGCCCCCCCCCCCAACTACCCCACTCTTTCTGTAGCGTTGGTGTAAGTCCTTGATGCGGAGAGAAAGAAACCAGAGTGAATACCCAGCCGTAATGACGCTGCTATATGGTCTCTGTCACGTGGTTTGTGACGTAAGGGAAAAGAATCTTGGGGTCATGGGGCTTCCCCTGACCTAGATTCTATCTCTCCTTCATTTGCAGAATCACTGGTTAATGTTTACAGTTCAAAATAGTCATTTTGACTGACCAGAGTCTATAGTGGGTATGAACTATGTGAATAGGCGGGTTCACAGAACCCTCTGCCTAAATCTGTTATGTACACTTACTGCAGTGAATCTGTTATATACACTTACTGCAGTAAATCTGTTATATACACTTATGCAGTAAATCTGTTATGTACACTTACTGCAGTGAATCTGTTATGTACACTTACTGCAGTAAATCTGTTATGTACACTTACTGCAGTGAATCTGTTATGTACACTTACTGCAGTGAATCTGTTATGTACACCTACTGCAGTAAATCTGTTATGTACACTTACTGCAGTAAATCTGTTAT